GTACGCACGTTACATTACAATTAAGTCTGTTATCTGAATAATGATGTAACGAGAAATTTAATAATACAACATCGAAACTAGTGGGCACCGCAATCGATTGTCCAGGTCAGTTCCGACTCCGAGCTCCCCCTTCCTTTCGTCTGTCCCTTTCGGATGTCGCCCAGCTGGCTCGCGCTTACTCCTTCCCATAATCTTTTCATTCGAAACAGCTCCGGTTTCCGAAGTCGTATCAGCTGATGGTACTTGATATTATTCCCTATGCGCTGTAATTCTAACGGAGAATATTCGTCGGAGCAATCACGTCTGGATTTGTTCCAGTCACGTTTTCGTCGTGCGCGTCTCGGGCGACTTGTCCATGTCGAACCATGTCCAAATCCTGTCCGCGAAGAGAGCAGTGCGAGCGACACGCGGATTCCAGAGCGCGATTCCAGCCGGCGCTGTGAAGCGCCGCCGATAGCTGATAGGTTGGCAACTATCGGATCAGTCGCGCATCCGCAACGGCAACCGATGCCGTTGACGCCGCTGACGGCAGGGTCTCTGCGCGTCTAGTCCCGCAGCTCGCAGTCGAGACTCGCGGGGTGAAGCCAAGCCAGTTGGCAACAGACCATCGAGCGGGTCGCTTGCGCCAGTCGACGGCTGACGGCCGCGTTCTCTCTGTTCTTCCCCTTCCTCGTCTCCGACTCGCGACTCGGCCGCTCCGTGTGTGTTTCCGAGCCGAGCGTTTTCTCGTTTGGCGTTTCGCGTCTCGCAGCGGTTGTCGCGACAGTCGAGTTGAGTAGCGCGCCGCGCCCCCCCCCCGCCCCGCGTGGAGGAGAAAGAGATCGGCTGTCATTGTTGTCATCATCCACGCGACGCTGCGCCGACGATCGGCTGCCATGGGGCCCGTCGACGGAATCATTTGACCCACGGGAACGACTCCAGGCTCGTCGGTGGGATCGTGAGCAGACTCGCGTGAGCGCTACGAATCGGTAAACGAGTTTGAACAAATTTTTCCATTGTCATTGTCATCGTCTTTGTTGTCCTCGTTACCGTTATCATTGTCGTCGTCGCCGTGCTTGTCATCGCGCGATTCTCCCATCTGTTCTCTCTCTCTCTCTCTCTCTCTCTCTCTCTCTCTCTCTCTCTCTCTCTCTCGTACGTGACAGCGCGCTCGTTGTTTCACCCATTCGTCCCCATTCCCGTTCCACGACACGAGAGCGAGGGCGCTCTCCTAAGAGAAAGCGTTTCCTCGACGGAAATCGTCGTCGATTACCCTCGGACTCGATCGCGTTTAACGCAGCTGCGTCGCTCCGAGAAGCCGTATTCGTGACGTGAGATTGACGCGAAGAACTTTGACGTGCGAGTGCCTCGATCAAGGCTGAGACGTTCCACTGCAGGCACACTAGTCGACGTATCGTTCGCGGAATTTATGCCAATCAACACGCTCCTTCTCCCTCGCGTCACTTTCCGTGCCGATGGATTTCGTCATTTCGAATCAGGGAGATTTGTCCGAACGATACTCTCTCTTAAACTCTTGCAAATTCAAAGCGTACACGTGTCTTTTTTTTTTCTTCATTCGCTCCGAGAGAGAGAGAGAGAGAGAGAGAATCTATACAAAATTCTTTCTCTTCGAATTTCGTCCTCTCGATGATCTTTTCTAAAGACTTTATTACCTTGATAATAATTGATGCGAAGAAAAAAATAATTACGTATTTCTCGAAATGTCTAACAAGTACAGACGTAGCGTTGAGTTCCTTGAACATTTCCAGACATGCCACAGCGTCGTGTTCCAGCTGTTCGTGACAGTTAGGTGGGGATACCTTTGTCCGCTCGTCGTTCTAGCTTGACGGCTGATTGTTATTTGTCCCCTCGGCAGTGCCCTCCTTCAGCTTTGGTTTCTCTACTGGATTTCATATGACGAATAGAGAAATGAACGAGAGAGAGAGAGAGAGAGAGAGAGAGAGAGAGAGAGAGCGAATTTTAACCCTTCCACCCTTATAATAGTACTTTTCTAGCGTGAGAAGAATATGAAACGACTTGCGTCAACGGCTCCAATACTTACACTTCGATTCTTTTTTGTGTTACATTCAGAATCGAATTTAATAGAGGCTTTTAAACAACTAGAACATTTGTATACCGATCAAACAAAGCTTTGTTCGGTTACTTCCCTTTTGTCCTTAATGAAATTTTCCAAACGGCCCTTGTATGCCTCTCGCTGATGTAAAAGGAATAGTTGGTATCTAGAATAAATTTTCCAAGAGTTTCAAGTTGATTTTGTTTGCTGACACCTGAAAATTAATTAATGTAAACCTGTTCCTGTTTCCTTCTCGGGTGTTTCAACTTTACGTGATATCGCATTTACGTTAGATTGAAGGAATTATTTGATAAACAAAATTTAACTAAACAAGTACGAGTATTTGATTAAATAAGTGTTCAGAGAAATAAATTTATTCTGAATACAATTTGATTAAATAATTCATAATATCGGCGGTTTATTTTGGCCGACTTGAAATCGAGTTACTTTTTGGGACGTGATAAAGAATTGCGCTTTGATAAAATTAACGTATATTCGAAATGATATTTTACGAAACATATGAAATATTAAAGGATCTAATTTAAACCAATTCCTCTCAAGTTAAATGATATGTTATTTTTATTTCCAAAGTGTGTTAATGTATTATAGAATGTATTATTCTAATATTAGATGTGTAGTTAAAAAGAAAAACAACCATGTCTAATCAATCCATTTCTTTGTTCAAATTGATGTTTTCAAAATAAATAGTATTTATCTCAATGTATGTGCTTAGTAAATAACTAAATCTGAGTCAAATTAATAGGTTTCTTCAGTTAAATTGTTTAAATTTATTGTTTACCACCTCCACTATTTAATTCCATTTTTCAGTTAATAATTAACAATATATTGAGTACCGAAGCATTGTGACAACTTATAGGAATAATAACTCCAATTAGATACAGTTTGACATCATACATTTAACAGTATGTACATTGTAACCGACTGTAGGATAACGGAAAAAGTCTGCTTTATTTATTCGTGTTATAAATCAACGAAACGATACCTTCTAAATATTTATTATGTAAGAGAGCAAAATATTGCGAATTTAAGCTAGAATTTTTAAACGTACACATCAATTGATCTCTTTGTTTTCGACATGCCATAGCCAAATGGGAAAAGTTCAAATTGCAATCGTTCACTGAGCTGTTTGATAAATAAATTGCAATTCGGGAGCTCGCTGCGAGGTCCAGCCGAGTGCGTTTATACCTCTTGAGCTTTTATGGCTACGCAGTCGGGGAGAAATGTGCATCTTTTTCTCTCCCCCGGAGCGAACCGTGTCAAAACAACGGGGGCGTCGTCTCAGCCGTTCGTTGAACCCAGCTGTTTTGGATGTCTACCCAAAAAAAAAAAGTTCAAGGTGACGCCCGCGGTGCACGGTCGCGGTTCGGCTTCTCCCGATCGTTCTTCACCCAAGGTGGAGTGTCGGCCTCACGAAAGGGAGAAGAGGATTCGGCAGGATCGATTGCAAGATGAGATCCATTATAGTCTCGCCGCTTTTAAGTCTGGATTGTCTGGAGCTTTAAAAAATGAATTTGCGTAAATATCGAATTATTATCTCGCTTCGTACGTTCGAGAGATATCAGATGACTTATGTAAATATTCGAAAATTCACACACGTCTCTGCGTAGAGCCGACAGTGCAAAGTTATGCGTGAATAATGTATCACCAGCAATTTTATAGCTTTATAATTGTATAGCTGTACATCGAGAAAAAAGTATACTAAATCAAGGTCGTCACAAAACTGAGAATCACAGAAATTAGGGAAAAGGGATTCTTTTCACAATTTTCTGGTAATTTTTGGCTTTATTCTTTAATTCTTTAATTCTTGGCTTTAGAGAAGTTTAATACGCGTACGTTATTACACCTACGCAAT